GCTTTCGTTTCTCTCGCTGTGGGCTGGGAGCTTGCGCCTGCAACCGGTTTGTTTCGGGGGGCTTTGTCTTGGGGAGACTCAGCCTTGGGCTCGGTGTGCCCCTTTCAGTGAAAGAAGGCTTCAGTAAAGGCCCCTCTGCCCTTTCCCTGTCGGAAATGCTCCTTTTTTACCCGCCTTTCCCTCCCCGCTCCCCCGAAGTAGAGAGGCACAGGGGGTTGTTTCGCAGGTTGCAGTGCTTCCTCCTCAGCTCACCACCTTGTTTCTGGTGCTTCCACCCCATCCTTCAGTGGCCGAGAGTGACAGCTTAGGCCTCCCTCCCCGCACACGCCGAGATCTGAGCACTTTGTGCTGCGTGGCGAAGGTGGGGAGTGGGGTCGTCAATTGGATTTGAATGGGAGGCGGTGCTGCTCTGACATTTTGGTGTCTTCTTTACGCATGGTTGTGAGCCGCAGGTCAAAATTGCCAATATTTTCAGACTATGCTAATGCTGTAATGACTGTAAGTCAGAAATAGCGTGGCAGTTATCCTCATAGCAATTATGTAATCTGCTTTATCAAGGAACGATACAGATTTTTTCAGAAACTAGCTATTTGTGTGTGCTTTTTAAACTGTTCAGTGTAATACCGTTGGGGTAGCAAAATAGTGTTAGTCTGTTGTACTTGTTTTGCACTTGAGTTTCTTAACTTGTAGGAAGGCATGCAGGTTTGATCACAATTTCCACTCGGACCACAATCTCTTTGTTCTAAAACAATATGGACTTGAGAGTTTAAACAGTGATGAACTTCGCCAGCTTCTGCTTCAGAATGACCCTTCCATCTTACCAGAGGTGAGTAATACTTTGAGTTTCTTGGCTTTGTGTTTCAGTGAGCATCGCAAAGTGGAAGAGGCTTGATACTAGATGGTTAGGTGTCAGTTTTGTTTGCATAATGCAAATCTTATGTGCAGCCTTTGTTCTCGACTCTGGTGGGTTGACCCTAGCTGGCAGCTAAGCATTTGCACAGCCTCCTCATTCACTCCCATCTCCCCAGCCCTCAGCAGGGCAGGTGAAAGAAAACAAGAACAAAAAGTGACAAAACCAGTGGATGGAGATAAAGATGTTTTGGAAAGTGTAGGAAAGCGAGGACAAAACAAGTGTTGCAAAGGAAGTTAGTCACCACCTTCCACAAGCAGAGTGATGCCCAGCAAGTCTCTGAGTGAGGCCCACTTTGTAAGAAGAAACGGAGAAGAGAGAAACAGCAGCACACCTCCCCCCACCTCTTTTTTTTTATTTATTTATAATTTATTTTGGAGCATGACGTTCTGTGGTGTGGCATATTCCTTTGGCCAGTTTGGACTATGTCCTGGTTTCAGCTAGGATAGAGTTAATTTTCTTCCTAGTGGCTGGCACAGTGCTGTGTTTGGATTTAGTATGAGAACAATGCTGATAACACACTGATGTTTTAGTTGTTGCTAAGCAGTGCTTACCCAGAGTCAAGGATTTTCCAGTTTCTCATGCTTTGCCATGAGAGGAGGCTGGGAGTACACAACGAGCTGCGAGGGGACACAGCTGGGACAACTAACCCAATCTGTCCAAAGGGATATTCCATACCATATGATGTTGGGATGAACAATAAAACAGGAGAGTTGGTCAAGGGGTGGCAGCCCACTGCTGAGGGACAGTCTGGGCATTGGTCAGTGGATAGTGAGCAACTGCATTGTGCATCACATGTTTTGTATATTCTTTTATCATTATTATAGTCACTTCCTTTTCTGTCCTATTAAACTGTCTTTATCTCAGTCTTTGAGTTTTAACCTGGCTGCTTGCTGAGATAAACCAGAACGAGTTAGCTGCCCCAGCCTACCTGATCTGGAGAGGCCAGAGTGGAGAAAAAGAGAAAGCCTCCACACTGTGGAAGCGCTGCTCAGCAGTATCTGAAACATTGGTGTGTTATCAACACTGTTTTAGTCACCAGTCCAAAACATAGGGTGGTATGGTCTGCTATGAAGAAAGTTAACTCCATCCTAGTCAGATCTGGTACCTCTTGCCACCAAATTCAGGTCAAAAAAGTTCACTATTTCAAAACTAGAAAACCAAAGAGTTCGGGTAGTGACACCATAAAATCCACTATCCTACATTTACATGACTTGGAACAAAATCTGCTTGAGAATGTTTTTGAGATGATTGTTTTCTGTTGAAAGATCTTTCCAGACATTAGCAGGGAAAAGGAAAAGCTATCAAGTTTGGAAAACAAGAAGAAGAAACTCGCATGAGTCTTTTAAATGCAAATGTAGACACATAACTGTAAAAATTTAAAAATCATTAATTCAAACAGCCTATATGAGCACGCTGTGCTTTGATCTTTAATTATTTTTTTTTTCCCTTTGTCCAAGGTCTGCTTATATTATAACAAAGGTGATGGACCTTATGGATCTTGTACCTATAAAAAGATCTGCACCAAACTGCATGTTTGCCAGTACTATTTCCGGGGACAGTGTAGATTTGGCAGCAGCTGCAGGCGATCCCATGATTTATTAACATCAGAAACTTATGAGAAACTGGAGAGACGGGGACTGAGCTATGACATTATTGAGAAACTACCCTCCATTTATAGGAATATGTATGACATAAAAAATGGCAATGGGAACATGGATGACATGGAAGATGGCATGTCTTCACCCTTCAAAGGTAAATGATACCATCTTTTGAAATCAGAAGAGTCACCGTAGTCAATGTGACATTCTCACAGATGTCATGAAGAAAAAGAAAACTGAATTCACATCTTGATCTTGTCTTTAAGGAGGTCTCTTGTCTTTAAGGAGGGACCTTGACAGAGATCTATGTCTTGACAAGTGAATACAAGGCATTATGGGTTCCTGAGAAGTAAAGTGCTTGGTGTTTATAAAAATCATAAATCTGAGGTTAGAAAAGCATAACAGGAACTGGAAGTAGGGAGATCTTTTTGTGGTAAAAAAAACCATAAGGATAAAGAACTGTTTAAGAATCGGGGTGGCATTTACATGTGTGATTCTAAACTATTTTATCTTTTTTTTTCTTTAATGATTGTCTGGAACAAAGATTCACAGACAGCACTATCCCAGTTACTTCTTAGAGATGCTGTATTTTGTTCTTTTCTTTTGAAGTTATTTAGAATTGTAAGTTAAGTATAATTTAGCGGGAAACAAAAAGATAACAGAATGGAAAATCCAAGTGTGTGTGTTCATCTCTGCTGTTTTCCCACAGTTGCTTCTTCCTTTCTTTGTTTCCTTAGGTGTGTGTTTAATTTGCAGAAGTATCAAATTTTGACACTTCCGATTTTATAGCTGCCACTGTGAACAGTGATGTGGAATGCACGGCTAACTCAAGTCCGTCTAAAAGTGTAAAGGCATTGGATTATATTTTTGTTTTGCAGTGAAAGCTAAAAACTGTGAGGAATTTAGCAGTTACAGGAAAGTCAACGTCAGAAAGGGATAGGACTTTTGAGTAGACAAAGTTATCAAAGGCTTCATTGTCTTTCTGGAGCTGAATGCAGTTTCGTAGTTATAAACACTGGTTTTAGCTATCTTCCCTACCCATAGGTGCACTTCAAAGAGGACTTGTTGAAACAAAGTGTATTAATAAGGCTTATAATTCCTCCCACTAGAGAGAAAACACAGCTTTAGCCGAGAGTCTTCAACTGCAAATGATGATGAATTGGAACAGATCTGTTTATATCATCTGTACAAAGGTTGTGGCTTTAAAGGTAGGTTGTGATTGTAGCAAGTCCAGTCTGTTTTCCTTTTCTCATAAAGAGGAAGTGATAGACATATTTCACAGAAAGGGTAAACTTCAGAACTTATGTTTATTTTTAGTTAAATCTTAGCAAAATCTTGAATGCTGGTAGGAATGTGCTTGACCTACCTGCTGTAGCAAACAAAGGAGCTGTTTTGTTTGACTTTGAAATGCATAATATCCACCTGTGTTCACCTAAGGGATTGCTGAATTATAAGAGTCCCATTTCCAAACAGCTACAAAAGATACTCTGAACTCTACATTCTTCCTTGTTTCTTCTCTCTCTGTTCCATCTGTCTGAAGTATCTCCCTTTCTAAATGTTCCAACTTGTCCAGGAAAAAGGTTGCTGTGCCAGCTTTCTTGCTGTCCTTTTGTCATCCTTTCCCTTCTTGATGGTCTTGACCTGTAGTAGCTCCCTGATGTCCCGCACACCTTCTCATATGAACTGTGTGGTGCAGTTTCCTTGACTTTCCCTGTTGCCTGTTGTTCTACCGTGAAAGACAGTCTCAAGTTTATGCATGTGTGTACTGGTGATGTGATCTTCACTGAGAAGTGACTGCTCCCCGACTCTTTAAAAGATTTCTGACTGATGCTTGTGATACCTTGGCCACTGCTACCACTGCTCGTGTTCCTGGTGAGGCCTGGACCCTTAAGGACTTCTCGGTAAAGGACTTTGAGACTAAGGGAACGATATCTATGTGTATGTATACGTATATCCAAAGACAGAAAAGGTGATGGTGGCTAACCGGAATGTATTGGAAAGCGTGAGACCTGGGCATGCTGTAAATGGTGTAGAGTATAGGGTGGATACTGCCCTGGTTTCAGCTGGAATAGAGTTAATTTCCTTCCTAGTAGCTAGTACAGTGCTGTGTTTTATCTTTAGTTTGAGAACAATGCTGAAAACCCACCGATGTTTTAGTTGTTGCTAAGCAGTGCTTATCCTGGGTCAAGGCCTTTACAGTTTCCATGCTGTGCTAGTGAGGAGGTGCACAAAAAACCAGGCGGCAGCAGAGACAGAACACCTGACCCAACCTGTCCAAAGAAACATTCCATACCATACAACTTCGTGTTCGGTACAGAAACTGGGGCGGGGGGGTTGGCTGAGAGGGGCTGATTGCTGCTTGGGGACGGGTTGGGCATTGGTCAGTGGGTGGTGAGCAATTGTGTTGTGCATCACCTGTGTTGTGCATCACTTGTGTGTCTTGGGGTTTATTCCTCTCTCTCTTTTTTTTATTCCCCTTTTCATATTTTTTTTTTCCTTAATTTCAATCACTAAACTGTTCTTATCTCAACTCATGGGTTTTATCTTTTCCCAATTCCCTTTCCCCATCCTACTGAGGGAACCGAGGTGATTGGGCAGCTTTGTGGTACTTAGTTGCCAACTGGGGTTAAACCATGTCAGTCCTTCTCCTCCTATCCTAAAACTAAGCACTGTTTGTGTTTATACTTCTTTTTTCCTCGGTAATACCATTTTGGGACTAAGTGGTTAAGCACAGGTATTTGAGTCTTTGTTAATCTATATATGAAATAATAGCCTCCTACAAGCTTGTGATCTCAACTCATTGTAGATTTTTATCCCTGAAACTGGGGACACAGGGTAGTCCCTCATTACTGAGCTCCTGCTAGCAATTTTGTTGCACAAATAGAATCTGGTAGGTCTAGAAAATGAACTTGTTGAGTGTTTATGCTGAAAAATTCTGAACTTCTGCTTGCAAAGATTCCATAATCATGCATTCGATACTCTCACCAGCTGTATGTACATCCCTGAAATGTTGTTTTTTCTCATAACCTGTAAAAATAATGCATCTCTCTCTTTCTTTTTCTTTTTTTTTTTATCATTTATAGACAAGTGTATCAGAACTCACTTTCACTTGCCATATAGATGGCAGGTCTCTAAGGGTAACATCTGGATGGACTTGAAGAATATGGAAGATATAGAAGCAGCATACTGCGACCCCGATTACACCGGGTATAAACTCTTGAAATTTAATAATGTTTAGAGTTTGCTATGTTGGACCAGGCTCTTAGTGGCTATAAATCGCTATGATTCTATTGCAGTCATTACATAAGTAGCTTTATTTGGTATTTTTCTGCTGACCTCGCTTTGCTGATCTACTGTTGGAGATCTGTTGTGACTTTCCTAGGCCTGGATATCATATAGAACACTCTGGTTACCACACTGAGTTTGACTGGGATGGAGTTATCTTTCTTCATAGCAGCCCTTAAAGTGCCATGTTCTGGGTTTGTGAGTAAGATGGTGCTGATGATACACCAGTGTTTTAGGGGTTACTGAGCAGTACTTGTCCAGAGTCAAGGCTTTCTCTTTTTCCTGCTCTGACCTGCGCCTCTGCAGTGGGTAGGCTGGAGGCAGGCAAGGGGTTGGGAGAAGATCAGCCAGGACAGCTAACCTGAACTGACCAATGGGATCTCCATACCATGCTACATCATGTTCAGCAATAAAACCTCGGGCAGAGGAAGAGAGGTGGGTTTTTGTTTACCAAGGTAGCTGCTGTTTGGAGGCTGGCTAGGCATTATACTGCCTTGAGAGGTGGTGAGCAATTTGCTTTGCTTTATTTGTTTATTCACACACACACCTTTCTTAACCTATTGAATTACCTTTATATTGATCCACAACTTTTCTTGCTTTTACCCTTCCTATTTTCAACCCTCAGTTAGCCTGGGAGGAGGGGAGGAGTGAGCAAGCAGCTGCATAGGTATTTGTTTGCTGGCCAGGGTCAATACACAACAGTTACGTGATCGTAAAAATATAAATACTTCCTACTGTTACTACTATAGGAAGTCTTAATCCTCACTATGAATGGCTGGAAAACTGCAGAGAATGGTGATTTTTATCACTTGTGGGTATCTGTCTTTGGTTAGAACTTGTCAATACACCCCATGATTAGAAATAACCTCCAGCTCAAAAGGATGGAAAGGTAGCATGAGATTTGCCCCGCCTACCTCCTTTTCCCAAGTTCATATTGTGGATCTGGTAGAATACCTTGTGTGCCTGGGGAGAGAGAGACTTTTGGATGCAGAGAACATTAAGAATAAGGAAATGCCTTTAATGGTTTGGAACTGGTTATGTAGTGCAAAGGGTATTGGAAGAGGCTCGTACCAGTAGGCTATGTCCCATACTGGAGAATTTACCTAGCCCTCTTATGTTACTTTAGAGGTTATTTGAAGCCATGCTTAAGTTACAACACTGTTCTCTTTAGAATATAGTTGGTTAGCAAGAGGAAGGCAGTGTGTATTTTCCATTGTTTCTGTTCAACTTATGTAACTCACTAATGTACAAGTTGATAATAGTTATTGCCCATGGAACTGCTGTGAGATGCAATACTGTAATACAGAGTTAGGATTGTTGTGGAAACTGCAGGCTTCTGTTCTGCTTTTGAGTGATGTTGACCTAATTTGCAAATTCATGGTGGGCTTCTGAACCTAGGAGTAAAGCTTCACAAACTAACTGATTTCCCCCCCCCCTTTTTTTTTTCCTTCTGTATAGAATTAGAAATACTGCTACTGCAGATGGCTCTGCCTTGCCACGTATCTCTTTTCTGAATATGTCCTGTGGGCTTGAAAAGGTTAGACGCCTTTCTACAGCCTCTTCTGTGACCAAACCTCCTCACTTCATTCTTACAACAGAATGGATCTGGTACTGGAAAGATGAATATGACCTGTGGCAGGAGTATGGGAAAAAAGTAAGTGTGGAGAAATGGGGAGACTCTCTACTCTGTGTTAAAAGTGCAGAGCTACCGAGAAGTGTACAGTGTTTGTATCCTCCCTGTCTTGTCACCCTCTTCGTCCTCCCTCCCTCTCACTTATACTGTACAGATGGACTTAAGAGGCCTAATGGGATGATTTCCTTGGGAATTTGATTGGTTCAGGTAGGGGAGTGCTCACTGGTGAGCCACAAATATTATTGCCAGATAATTCTTCACTGAGTCATGTCAGATAGGATCACATTAATACATTCTTTTCATTGCTTCTGACTAAAACTTCCTTTTCTGAGGCTCCAGTAGTACTCTGTGCGTATTTGCTAAGGTTTAGTTGGTGAATGTGGGGTCTCAGTAGTAGCATTCATAGCATGTACGGTATAAGCACAGGCTTCATAACACTGCTTGGTTCTTTCGGGAGATGTTTCAACAGCTTAATACGTGGCTTTTGCCTGATAGCTACTATCATGCCCAAAAGCTGATACATATTTCAGCCACAATACCATATGATAGTTGTTGGTTTTTAAACTTGCTTGTATTTAAGAGACCGGGAGATATTTATTTTTTTCCTCTGGTTTTCACCTGACAGGATGTTGACCATGTAGCTGCCACTATCTCCAGTGAAGACCTGGAGAAAGCATATATAAGCAAATGTTCTCCAACACTGAACTTCAGAGCTGGAAGACATGAATATGAAATCAATTTTGCACGTAGGTTCCATTTGCTTTGGATTTTCTTTCATTTTGTCCTTCCCTCCCAAGTCTTTTGTGGTTTTAAACTACATTGCTACAAGAGATAGGAGAGAGAAATTTGAACTTTGAACTGCAGTGCTTACAAAGACAGAACTTCTGTCGAAGTTCGCAGATTAAGAGCTGTTCACAGAAGCAAAATGGCATTTCTATTCCTCCAAACCTTTTGGTTTTGAGAGGTTCTTGTGCTAGGTCTCAAAATGTCTGCCAGCAAGTCCAAGTGTGACATTGCCATTGATGCACCAACACAAATGGCGAGAAACTTCTGGAAGACTTGGCAAGCCAGCTTCTGGTCTGCTTTAATCACTGGCTTGCAGAAAAATTAGTACTTTGGCAAGGTGTAGGGTCCAGATAATCTTTACCAGTGCAAGATTTATGTAGTTACTTTCTTTTAATAGCTTTGCCAATCTTGAAAGGCTGAGGAAATACTTTAACTATGTCAAAGTAGGAAGATGTGTTTCCCAAGAGTTCAGGATATTTGAGCCATTTGTGATGGCACTGTCCTCTCTGAGCTGTTGCCTTTCCAGGTATCTTTTCAAAACCTGTGGGGAACAGCGGTGCTAGGAATAGGCCTGCCCAGACTTGTCGTTTTGGTGTAGTTGCCTTTGATCCAACTCTTCAATACTGTCTCATTCTTCATGGGAGGGGAAAAAAAAACGGAAAGGGCATGTGATATGTTGCTTGTGAATTAATGGAAAGCTATGTTGTAATCTTTATAGGCTGGGGAAACTTGTCTGGCTTAGAAGAGAAAATTGCATTGTAAATCAATCTCTTTTCTAAGATTTGGGCTTTTTTAGTGACTTAGGCAAATGTATGCAATGTAGATGTCTTCCAAGTTTCTAGGCTTGGTGGTGCCAAGTGATTTTGTTTGTTTGTCTTCTTCCTGTGTATCTCTCTGAAGATGGAGCCTGTTCTCCTGGCTGCCACTGACTTTTAGTTGCTCCTATAATGTGGCAGTAGCTACAGAGGTTCCAAGATCCAGAAAGAATACCTCTAAAATTCAGATTGCTGTGACTTGTTTTCCTGTTGGTGGTCAATAAAAATGAATGGCCTGTAATAGCTGTTAGGTTGCATTTATATGGTTCGAAACCTACAAATGCATGTAGGAAAACAGTATCTTGATTGCAAATTGAGGAGGGGATGCAATCCACAGAGTAAAAGTAGATACATACTGTGCAATTCTCAGTTAAGTGAACAATGGAGGAACAATGAAGGGAAAACAGCTACCAGTGTCTATCATTCCTTTTAGAGTTAAGAGTAAAACTGAAACTGACTTACACAGACTGCAGGTTCCACATCCTGCTTTGACTTCCCTTGGTGATGGTATTAAAAAAGCTTGGTGCTTTTTTTGTTAACATTTTTGACGAAACAACTTGGTGGCTGCAGTGTGAAGGCTTTCTAAGACATCTTTCTGATTGCTCAGGGTGTTCTGTTTTACTTTTTCCCTAGACATGATTCAGAAAAACCTTCGCTACTCAACAGAGAGAGAGGTTTGCAGAAGACCTGTATTTGTGTCTCAGGAAGAGGTAGAGAAAACAAGAGCCAGGTAAACTGCAACTGCTCATTCTGAGGTGACGGATTTAGTGCATTGTGAATGCAGTGTCTTCCAAAGGTGTAAATAAGGTGAAGCAGTAGCTGTTAAGTCAGTTGTGAAGGAAATTAAGAGGGGAAGGGACATACCTGTCCTACAACAGTGTCTACCCAGTGCAGTACTGCAGCCTGGCCAACAGTTTTCAAGCAACTCAGGAGCCTTGGGGGTGAAGGAAGTTTGGGCTTGGCTACAGTAAGTGTGGAAGCATAGGAAATAATTCAACATGTATCAATGTTGTAGGAAGCTGCTGATCAGAGGGAGCTGTCTTATTAGAGCAGCTGATACAGATGAAAGCAATAATGTTTATGCATACTAGCCTTTCTGACGCATACTAGCCTTTCTGACGTCTGAGATCAGTAATTTTCAAAGCTAAGTAAAGTTTAGAAACAATTCTTTTAAGAACAGCCAGACAAGCTGAGAGGAAAGGAGTTGTTAAAGGTGGAGCAAGACATAAGAGTCTGCAAGAGGAAAAATTTTTCTTAAACAACACTGAAAAGAGCTGTGAAACACACTAATTAAAATTGGGGTGGAAGTAGAGGGGAGGGTTGTTTTGTATCTATCCTGTTTCTGCCATACTGATATGATCCTGGATGTATTTTTATTTATCTACCCCACTATAGCAGAGTTTTTATGTATACATTCAGCTTTTTGCAACTAAGAAGACTACTCTTAATATTTAGTTTAGTGTATATCTATTTTTATTTTTTTTACTTCTCATTTGGCATCTTGCTTCCTGCCATAAGTCTTGATATGATGATTTGGAACAAATATTTTCATGCACTGAAATGAAAAGACAATTTTGAAATATTTCTTAATATGTTCAGTTGCCTATATTCTCCCTAAACTTGGCAAAAATGTTTAGTATCATATGTACGTAAAATGTAGGGATATGGTTTGTTTAATTACCTGTTTGTAATGTCTTGTAATGCACAGGAGCTTTAAATGTGCAGAACTTAAGGGCATTCCATCTCACTGGGACAAATCTGCCCTGCCTGAAGTGGGATTCAAGGTTTGGAGCTTTTGGGTTTTTTTTTTCTCTCCATCACTCCATCATCTCCATATGTTCTGTCACATATAGGTTTGTTACAATCTCAAGTTCAGTGTTTCTTGTGCCCTTGTAGATGAACGTTTCCTATGTAATGTAATGTAAAGGTGTTGCTAGATTTGAGTCTGATAACTTGACAAATTTGGCTGAAGCTTAGGTTGTATTGTCAAGACTGTTACTGGTGCCCAAGATACATAGTTTTGAAGTCCAACCTGTGCTGAAGTCTCTAAACTTCAGGGTAGCCATTGTGTGAGCTGTGTGTAAGTAGACTGTTGCACATCTATGAAGCATTGGTGAAATCAGCAGAGTTCAGGCTGGGATCGTTGGTTAAAATGTACCATAACTCCAGTGGAGTGAACTTGTTTACCTTTGTAACACACCCAGTTAATAGCTCCCTGGTTTACCTTTGCTGGCTTCCTGCCTACCTCCACTACCACCTCTGTCAACTCCAGTAACTATACCTACAGAAAAGATCTTTCATGAAGACTGAAACTTACTGACTTGCAAAATGCAAATCCTCAAGAAATCTTCAATAAAACATAGGGAAGGCTAATACTGACATTCTTGATGTTCGTAAGGAAAACAAGCAATTGGGAAACTTCACTTGTTTTAAGGCAAATCGTGTAAGAAACTTATTTTTGGCTTGTCCTTAAAATGGTTGATCAAATGGTTGGACTTTTCAATTTATTTAAAAACATAATGGGCAGTGCAGTTTGTGTGCACTGGCCATAGGAAGTATAAAGGTCTAAAAAGCATGGGTGTAGAGGTATTCTTTGATTTACTGCAACATAAATTCTCCCTACATGTGTTTTGTATTTATGTGCTCATTTCTTCTATGTATTTAGCTACTGTTTGTTACATGCATGCAAATGTATCTAGGGCCAAATATTCAAAGGGGCTGGGTGGGTGCACAAAAGCGTGCAGCTCGTTTAATGTCCTGTGAGAGAGCAAGATGCGTGTCTTAAATAGCAGGAGTTAATGTACGCTAGCTGAGAGCTCGCTTACAGATCAGGGATCTCTAATTTGCCTTCTTTCCAAGAGTATTTTCACTGCTTATACCTCTGCTTCATAAAAAAGACTTTAAAGGTCTGAGTAGTGCACTAGGTAGGGTGGCTTTGTTACGATTTAGTAAAAGATGAGAGTAGCTTTTTAATCTTTTTCCTTACAGCTGATTGAGCTTGACAGTTTTTCTGAAGAATATGATAAAGTCAAGGTGGGCTTTCAACGCACAATGCCCAAAACAGTTATTAAAAGGATTCGTAGAGTTCAGAACCCGTCTCTCTGGGAACTGTATCAGTGGTATGTGTAAAACACTGTTCTGGTATGTGTGCATGAAGTTTGTTGTTTCTGCAGTTAGCTGTATGTTAAAGATAGATGTACGCATTCCTGAAATGCAGCTGCATTCAAGAATCTGCTTCCACTCCCTAAACTGAAATACCTAGCCAGGATCAACATGTAGATAAAGAAGTACTGAAAAAAAAACCTCAGTCAAGACATAGAGTTTTGAATAGTCAGCTGAGCTCTGTGGGAGCAATCATTCTGACTTCTCCCAGGCCTCTGTCCAGGACAGCTGCCTTCCACTGAAGCCTTGAAGCTGGTAATCACTTGCATTTGGCACAAACACTGTTTTGTAGCTGGTCAAAACTGAAACAGCCTTCAAAACTAAATTGAAAACCCACTGAAGGAAAGCTTTAACATGAACTCCTCTGTTTAGAAAAAAATAATGCCAAGGTTCCTCCCCCTCTCCCAGTGAGGCAGTGAACGAAACAAAACATTTTTATAATTAAATATCTGGAGGCATTTGTGTATAATGAAAACACGTTTGTATGCAACTAGACAGCAAGATACCCTGTATGCCCAAAGTTCAGGCCTTAACATAAGGATTGTCAGAATATACTCTTTGTCTAAATTTGTCTTTGAGTGCTACTATGGCTGGAACCTGTCTGGGTTCAGCCACAATGGAACTGCAAATACACTGCTTCTTATTGCAGGCAGAAGGAACAAATGCAGAAGAGTAATGGCGGAAATGCTGTGGATGAGCGATCTTTATTTCATGGGACCAGTAGAAAATACATCGATGCCATCTGTCAGCAAAACTTTGACTGGAGGATCTGTGGCATTCATGGGACAGTCTATGGCAAAGGTTGTTTTTCGGCTCCTTCATTAACTTTAGACTTGCTGAAATATTCTCAGTAGTTACTGTAGAGGTGTAAAGGTAGGACACTCAGACCATCTAGGGCTTATCTCTGTGATGATGTGGACAACATAGCTGACTTCAGCAATGTGATTGATCATTTGGAACTAAGGTATACTGAAGGGCCTTGGCCTCTATGCTGCACCCTGTCCTTGCAAGAACACAAGCACAGGAGAGGCCAGTTATAGGGATGATTTTCATAGACACCAGGCCTACTTCTGTTCTCATTTCTCCAAGCTCCTACAGGAAGGCAGTGTGGCATTACTTGGCTTTGGTTTGTTTTGTTTTGTTGGTTTTTTTTCCCAGAAAAGCAAATGCCATCCTGGTTATAGGCTTTTTCCATTATTAGCAAATTACATTCCTTTACGTTGCCCTGTGTACAGGAAAGGATCAACATACCAAGGGAAATAGCCAAGAGACAGGCTGACTGACTGACTACCCACCCATCCAACTGAATACCTTGTAACTCTCAGAAATGTGCTAATGAATAATAGTAGCCTCGATCTCCTGAGGGAGTTGGGTGCGATTGGGAAAGGTGGACATCTAGGGTCAAGAGGAAATCTTGAAGAACATGACAACATTTAATACATTACTTTTGTGTGGCTTTTTAATGTGTGCTGTGAAAAATAAGGCTGTAGGTCATTTTCACTAAGAAGGACATACAGGACATGTGAAGGCTTTGGGAAGGCCATTCATGAACTGTTTAATGGATTTGCTTATGAATTTGCTTTCACACTGTATGACTTCTCTGCAGTTTGGTATCTTACCAACTCTGTCTTGGTGTCTCTTCTGCAGGAAGCTATTTTGCAAGGGATGCATCTTATTCTGACAACTACTGCAGGGAAGACTCACGCACCAAGACCATGTTTCTGGCCCGGGTGCTGGTGGGGGAATTCACTGTTGGTAATTCTTCCTATGTTCGGCCTCCCATGAAGGACAAACACAGCTTCTATGACAGTTGTGTGAATAGCTCTTCAAACCCTTCTATCTTTGTCATCTTTGAGAAGCAGCAAATTTATCCAGAGTATCTCATAGAATACGTTGACCAGGCATATGCTAAAATGCTGTAGTACCAAAACCTGTCATCATTATGTTTAACTGGTATAAACATTTTCTTAGCATTGGCTTAAGAGAGAAAAAGTGATTTTTAGAAGTTATATGATTGGATAGGTGAGTTTTCAGAAGCATTTATTATCCATCCTTTCTGTGCAATAGAAAATGAGAAGTAAAAGACAGAAAGGATGTCTTAGAATTCTTAAAATCCTGTCTCTGTCTCCTATTCTTTAGCAGGTATCACATTTCCGTGCATTACTAGAGACTTTTATAAATTTATTAGATTAATTCACTGATGGTTGTAACATGATGATTAGCAATGACTGCCAAGTTTAAGTAATATTTAGTTATAACTATTTCAGGATCTTTACATGTTCTTATTAGTCAGAGGCTCTTTCCTTCTACCTGTTTATATTTTAACTCAAAATTTGATAAAACCTGCTTTTTTTAATAATCTGTCTCCTGCAATAGTAGACATTCAAGTGTTTGCAAATGAGACTGTACAATCTCTATGATCAACTCATTGCATAAATTCTGGGGTTTGTCCCTACTTAACCTTCACCAACAAAGCCTCAAAAATTAAACTGGCTTGTTGAGAAGGAACAGAGTTATTTTAACTTGTTAATTTTCTCACTGAAAGCAAATACCAAAGACATGAAGCAGAACAAGGATTGCTTGGTGCTGTACTATTCAATTGACTTACTCCAATCAAATAAATGATATATTTTAGGTCTGTGAGAACACAAGTCTTCCATGACTTTGTACCTTTGTATGAGAGTGTGCTGGCAGGTGCTGATGGGGGAGAAGAGGAGGCAACTCAAAGGCCATTTAAGAATACCATACTTGGGAGCAAAATGCACTGCTTGATTAGCAGTATCCTGTTCCTGTGGAGCAACTTCATGGTTTTCTTACAGTTGTTGGGAAGGACAGTGGGTGACCATCTCTCATGAGTACAGCCCTTTAGCTGTGGGAGATAGATACACTGGTTAGCAGTGTAATCAAGGGGTCTTTAAACTTTCTTGCAGGAAAAATGTGCTTACCTAGGGACAGGTCTCCAGCCACAGAGCTGAAATGTTTAAAAATCTGAAGGTTAAGTTGAATATTTAATTGTTCCCAGAGAAAGATGTTATTAGCATTGAGCAGTTAGCATACATATATGCAGACAGTAAAACTTGAACTGTCAAGTATTTTAATATTAAAGTTGCTGATACATAGACGGATAGTTTATCACAGCTTTAATGTTCCTAAATGAGTGCTTGTTAGCTGTAGTGTACTGCAAAAGCCTTAAGATACACTTTGTATAGGAGCTAAAAAATCTAAACCTGTATTCTAGAAGCACTTTTTTTTTTAATTCATCTGGATGATGATTGACAAGAGTACACTGGGTAACTCCTTATTACTTCAGCATGGTGAACCAGAAGCTTAGCTATGATTAGCTGGTGTAAGGCTGTGCAGAACTCCTTTTTATATGAATTGTGAAACTAGCAGCATGATATCTAAAGGAAAATACTCCCATTTGTGTTTAAACCCAGTAAAACACAGGATGTTGGAAATGCAAGTTGACTGTATTCTTTCTTTGGAAAGATTTATAATAGAGCATATGTGACAAGCTCATTTGCTGACATGAGTTTTGTCAGCATTGAGGGAGGATAATGTTCTGTATGAGAGCTTTCATACCTCTGCACAATAAGATTTTTCTGCCAAAACAAAATCATGTTCATCTACATGTTCATGGCAAATGAGAATACTAGTATGCCTTTCTTTCTCTGACCATAACCAGCATTTCAGCTAAGAACTGGAATAGCAAAAGTCATGTTAATCTTTTGCCAGAAAATTGAAACAAACATCTTTTTCCTACAAAAAAAGAGAGATTTTTTAAGAACATTTTTTATGACTAGTAGTATTTTTAAAGCCTTTAACTTTATTCTTGGAGAGGATGCATATGTGTGTAGGTATGGAAAATATCACTGGTTGTGTTTTGTCATCTATTATTTCTCCATTAACACACAAAAAGGAAAAGTTACCATGTTTTCCACTTCTGAAACTGCAGTGGTAACTTTCTTGTGTGTACTAAATAAACAGGCATTCAAACCACTAGATTCCTTGTCATGGTTTTCACTTTCTCAATACTGAAAGCACCACGTTTCACTACATTTCTGAGTTCTTGGAAGCTTTCTTAAAGATGCCTCTCATAGGTAGCAGAGTCCCTAAACAGCTGCCTGGTTTGCATTTGAAAATGAACAGATCAAAAAGTCATTTGCATTGAATCTAAACTTTCAACAAAAATTTATATTGAACCTCATTTCTGAGTGAGGACATTTCTTGGCTACTTAATACAAAAGTGAGCAGCAGCAATGTAATAATCTCTTACTCAATCCTGCACCACGTGAGGAGGAGAAGCTGTGAGGATTGTTCCCTATTTTGGTAGCAGGTCCATCCTTGCAAGTTCTTTACAGTGAGGTAAGCCACTGGCACAGGCTGCACAGAGAAGTTGTGAATGCTCCATCCCTGGCAGTGTTCTAGGCCGGGTTGGGCAGACCTTTGAGCAACCTGGTCTAGTGGAAGGTGGCCCTGCCCATGGCAGGGGGGTTGGAACTAGATGAGCTTTAACATCCTTTCCAACCCAACCCATTCTATGAAGACAGATGGCAAGCTAGCAGAACCAAACAACTTTGCTGTGCCAGTAGCACAGTATGGAGCAGGGTCATTCATGAACCGCCAGCTCCTAACCCACTGGGCTGGATAAGGGTCTGGCAGCCAGCCATGGTCAACCCACCACACCAGTTAACGGGTTTCATCTGTAATCAGGTTTATCATGATATTCTGCCTAGATTTTATGAGATGTAGGTGTCAGCAGCAGCAAAGGAGTGGCAGTACACTACTCGGTTCAGATACCTGCAGCCTGGGGAAGTAGGGGTGGTGGGTAAGAGTAACTTAGGTGGATGGCACATGCCAGTTATGCATTTTGCTTCTAAGAAACCACTGCTCAGCACTGCCTTTGAGCCAAAGGGCAAGTGGGAGTTGTAGAAATGCTGTCTGACTTTGAGTACTTCCAACGCAACATCCAGGAGAGACAGCCATTACATGGCCAGTGTTACTGGTGCTTATCATTTTTGCTAGGGGATAGGTAATCCAGCTCCCTCCTAAGTAGCCATAGCACCCAGCACTGTAGGGAGCAAACATCTTGGGGACTGAACAGACTTCTCAGAAGAAAGAGAATTGGGCCAGTGCAAACCAAGCAATGAAATAAACAGTTTGTGAGTCACCTTTAAATTCTTTTAGCATGTTTACTACTGTAAATGCACAGAAGAGGAATATCAGGTAAAGCTGTGTCCAAGATGGGAACATGGTTTAACAAAGGGAAATGAGAAGGTGGTCAGTTCAGAAAGTATCACATGCAGAGAGGAAATTCTGCAGTTTAATGCCAGGTAAGAATAAATAGTTCAAATTTGCAAGCAGTGACGCATGGTAACTTCTAACATTCCAGGAATGCTATTTATAAAGTACAAAACTTTAAAGGTTTTCTCTATCAGCAGTCTCATTAAAAATACCATTTTATACTGACAACTTCCTGTAGTCATTGCAAAATCCAGAAGATGTTTTTAATAGAAGCTTTCCTTTACTAAGCAGCTTTTGCTTTGTATCAGCTGTCAGAGAATGTCTAAGACCCTTTTGTAAAACAGACATGCCCAATTTTAAACAAACCCACAGCTCGGCAGTGCAAGACAACACACTTTCAAGAAGAGAAATTATTTTAAGTCAGCTTCCTTGTTCCTCCCTAAACTCAACTGCTCTACTGGGTTTCAGCTGGAATAGAGTTAATTTTCTTCCTCGTAGTTGGTGCGGTGCTGTGTTCTGGCTTTAGTCTGGGAACAACGCTGATAACACTGATGTTTTTAGTTGTTGCTCAGTAATGTTTACTCTGACCAAGGACTTTCTCAGTCTCATGCTCTGCCAGGGAGGAGGGGAAGCCAGGAGGAAGCAGAGGCAGGACACCTGACCCAAACTGGCCAAAGGGGTATTCCATACCACGGCACGTCAT